ACACACACACACACACACACACACACACACACACACACACACACACACACAAACACATGAATGGATGACGCGCATTCTGGTGGAATGAGTCTCTTGTCAAACAAACAAAAAACAGAAAACTATGAACAAAACTTGCCATCTTCATTCTTTCGTATTGTCATAACTTTTCTCGTATTTTTCACTTTGTTTTTCTGTGTGCGAGTGTTTTTTGTTTTTTTGTTTTTTGTTGTTTTTTAAAATTCGGACTTTCCCCCCGGTGAGACTCATTCCACCACAGCAAAAAGCTTGCAAAGCCATGCAGTGCCGCGTCGTTGTTGGGGGTGAGCACAACAGAGGGGTGCATGAGGCAGACAGATACAACCATGGGATAACGGAGATGGAGAGACAGATACAAACATGGGATAACGGAGATGGAGAGACAGATATAAACATGGGATAACGGAGATGGAGAGACAGATACAACCATGGGATAACGGAGATGGAGAGACAGATACAACCATGGGATAACTGAGATGGAGAGACAGATACAACCATGGGATAACGGAGATGGAGAGACAGATACAACCATGGGATAACGGAGATGGAGAGACAGAATGGCAGACTGACAGAAACAGACAGGAATATCAATATTAAGTCACAAACACACACACACAGAGACAACACTACACGTCCACACAAACACACACAGACCAAAACAGACAGGAGGCATGATAGAAGACAATTGCTAAGGCACACATACACACACACACAGAGAGAGAGAGAGAGAGAGAGAGAGAGAGAGAGAGAGAGAGAGAGAGAGAGAGAGAGAGAGAGAGAGAAACAGAGAAACAGAGACAGAGACAGAGACAGAAAGAAAGAAAGCGACAGAAAGAGAGAGAAAAAGAGACAGTCCAACAGCCAGTTAGACAAGACACAGAGACAGACAGAGACAGGGGGAAGAGACACTGACATCCTTTTGAAAACATGAACAACAAGGCAACAGGATGAAAATTGATCGCAATGCAGCACAAAGAGAGAACCATCACAGCTCTAAGCAGCACCATCAAGGAATGTTTCAGTATTCATTCAGTCTATTGGGGGTCGATAGAATTCAAGATTCTAACTGTTGGGACTTAGACCCCCCAAAAAACAGCTTTCAGAGGTCGTCAGTTTTCTTGGTCGTCCTACTTTCCTACCACCATCGCTTCCACCATCTCACACCCCGCGGCTTATAGCTGTGATAGTGCTCAATACACACACACAATGCCAAAATACAACCCAGAAATGACATACCACACTGAAAAATCGTCAGACATTATAAATATCAGGATGCTTTTCTCTCTCTCTCTCTCTCTCTCTCTCTCTCTCTCTCTCTCTCTCTCTCTCTCTCTCTCTCTCTCTCTCTCTCTCTCGCCATGACACAGGCTGAGAACACACAACTAATCTACGTCATCAACAATTCCTCCACGTTCTTCCACAACCGAGCACAGCTCTCAGATAAACACGTTATCCCCCCCAAAAAACCCCAAGAGGAATTTCACAACAGTATAGTTTCGTTCTGTTTCGCTTTTTCCTTTCTGGATTTTCATTGACAAATCCGAATCTCCTCTTGTCTTGGATCTGATTTGGCCGCTCCCCTTTTACTTTTATGTTCTCAAACTTATAAAAGAACCCCAAATATGAAATAAAAATTAATAAAAGACTCAATCGTTTGTGGAACAAGGTTGATGAATTATTTTGTTCAAAGTCTTTAATTTCTCTCTGACTAAATGAAACCATACTCTTTATCTAAACTGTTACAAATTTGACACTGGAATAATTCTAAGACTTTACCTGTATAATTGTAATATTATTGCAAAGGCAAAGCTTATTCTCGTCATAAAATAACAGTAAAAGATTCCACTAACTAATACGTACTCACACACACACACACACACACACACACACACACACACACACACACACACACACACACATACACAAACACACACACAGGTACACACACAGGTACACCACACACACCCACACAAACCTTCACACACACACAAACAACCCGCCACACACACACACACACAAACAAACCCCCACCCCCTCCCACACACATACACCCACACAAAGCCCCACCTTGCGGGCATCCTGTACAAATTGGTGCCACTGAGACTTGAACTGTTTGCTGGACATTACGTGCTGTTCCCAGGCCTCCCAGTAACTGACCACGGAGCTCATCCTCTGGTCCGAGAGGACTCGCTCAACAGTCTGTACCGGACCTCGCATGTCCAGGCTGCTGTCATCCGATACCTGGGGGGGGGATGGGGGGGAGGGGAGTGGAAGGGGAGAGTGGTGTGGATAGGGTGGGGTGGGGTGGTTGTGTGTGGATGGTGAGGGTGGTGGTGGAGGGGTGGGGAGGGGTGGAGGGGGTGGTGTATGACGGGGGGTGGGGGGTGGTGGAGGAGAGTGGGGGTGGAAGGGGAAGGTGGGTGATGGAGGGGAGGGGAGGTGAAGGGGGGGGGGGTTAAGAGGGTCGGGGATGGCGGGGGTATAGTGTTGGTGTGGGGTGGGAGGAGGGAAATACCAGAAATATTGAGGGGTAAGGGTATGGTCAATAGTCAAAAAAAGATAACCATAATACATTGAAAGACTGTAGTGTTCTAAATATCCTATTCTGCACACAGAACTATTTTTAAATCTTGTTTCTAATGATTCTCTTTTTTCTCTGTAACTTCCCAGTCACAGTTTAAATTAACTCAAGCCGGCATAATCCAAGAAGAATATTCACCAATAGTTTTCCCTAGTACTTTTTGGACAGGTTAATGATGAATATCTAGCAGTCACTGTCAAAATAGAAATCAAACGAAGCAGGGGTATGCCTACTAAGGAAACCTAAACAAATGGGTAACAGGGAAAGATCAGGGAAACGTAGCTTTTTTGTGAGCATCCGAGCAAAGGGATGAATGGAGAACCATGATCTCCGATGTCTGTCGCAGATCTGACACTGGATGATGATGAATGATGAACAACATAATGAATGCAAAACCTATAACAAACACGCCATTATAAAACCTTTGCAAGTTGTTCAAGAACCTACCATGGTTGCATTCTGCAGGAAATCTTTCCCCTTAAGATTGAGGTCGTCGAAAATGTGTCTTGTGTTCGAAAACATCTCTCGCAGGCTGTGCACGGCCGAGTCTGTGATCTCTTGGAGGTCTTCAGTCTCTGAGCGCACGATGTGCTCCAGGCCGTCCAGGTTACTGGACAGCTGGTGACGTCACAGGGGGAGGGAGGGGGTGAGGTCAGGTTAGACAGTGCACGACATTTGAAGACATAAGTCAACATAATAAATAACGGTGCTGGAGAGCGGAGGGAGAGGGTGGAGAGAGAGAGAGAGAGAGAGAGAGGGTGGGAGAGATAGAGGGGGAGAGAGAGAGAGGGGTGGAAGAAGAGAGAGAGAGAGAGAGAGAGAGAGAGAGAGAGAGAGAGAGAGAGAGAGAGAGGGGGGGGGGAAGGGGGTTAAAAGAGAAATGAAGAGAATGGATCACTAATGGAACCATATAGAAGACATTTTCTATCATTGAGCATTGAGCACTTTCTTGGTAGAAAAGCTCTATATATAGGTGAACTTTATTTATTTCTCTATTTCTCTTAAGATCATGAAGAAACACATCTGAACCGGACACCACATCTCAGCAGACAGACTAACATACTTGACTGAATAACGTCCCCACTTGGGAATGGAACTCGAGTCTTCTACATGCAACAGATCCCAATCATAACATCATAGATGCCACCTTGTCGTTCTTTTTTCTTTTGTTGGTTATGCCCAGACGAGTTTTAAAAACACAGCCATAAGTTGGGTTGTCAGGATTTGAGAAAGCTGACTTTTGATATGTACTTTTGTATGTTTGAACCATTCTTTCTTGCAAAGTTAAACCTAGCTGTGCTGCGAACTAACGTGAAAACATCCAACTTAGATCCCGCGTGCTCGTATGAGATTATGCAGTTGCCACCGTCGGAAAATGTTTACCAATAAAAAAACCCACACAAAAACACACCAAACAAATAGACGAAGACACACCAATGTACGCATCTGCTGCGAGAGTATCAAACAGACAGACAGACACACCAAGACACACAGGTGTACATACCTGCTGCGAGAGCCTGTGAAAAGAGACGTACATCAGGGACAGCTGGATGCGCCGTTCTACCGTCGTCTGGAGCCGTTGGTACGACTGTTCCAGGTCCCTGGCCGCCTCTGCCGCCTGATGACCGCTCTGGTCACCTGACTTAAGCAGCGCGGACGCCAGGGAGGTGAGGGAGGACAACTCAGCAATCTTGTCCTGGACACGCACAGACAGGGGGGGACAGAAAACACGTCATTAGAAACTGGGCGGTCTGTTGTGAGCAGGGGCGGGGCTAGATTTGGGGCCAAC